CCACACTCACAGTAAAAGTTTTTAAAACGTCTTAAAACGTTGTGGTAATAAGTCAAAATGATAAAATGGTAATAATGATAGCGCTACGAAAATTTCTGTGAAACAAAAACATGGGCCCCCTTTGGCTTAAAAAAAATTGGTCGATTTTCTCTCCTCTCCTCCTTTCCTGTTGCCCTCTCTCCCTCCCTCCCTCCCTCCCTCCCCTTCTCTCCCTCCCTCCTTTTTCCTTAGGAATGTGGCTTTGCAAGTTCAAGTTCAACCTACAGGAAGACTGCTCACAGCAGCTTGGAGCTAGGATTAATTTGCATGTGATCCCTCTGAACTCTCTCTCTGTGTAGCAGCAAAGTCGTTTCCAGGGTTATTCAAAGGAATTTTCTGACAGTTGGTTCTAAGAACTAACAGCACATTGTGATGGGAGACAGAGAGACCCTCGCAGACTCGGGGTTAACCCTTTCCTCGTCGCGCTGCTGCTGCCTCAGTGTGTATTTTCTCTTGCTATCACTTCCCTATACCCGGAATCTTAGGTGCTTGTAAGTTATAATAATAAGAATAATCATCATCATCCTTGCCATTTTCATACCGTGCTCTCTCTTCACACAGACCGTCCAGACGCCTCAAAGTGCTTCGCAAAGTTTCCTGTGAAGTGTAGTGACTGTGGTCATTTTGTTTAGACAGACGATTTGCACTCAGCAGCGGCTGTCATTTGGACTTGAGGTACACATTGGCCATGGTCGAATAGCATGGCAAAACAGACTTGAGGGGCTGAATGGCCTCGTCCTGTGTTCCTAGGTTTCAAACAGCCATGACGTGAATGAATGACCAATTTTATCTTTCAGCCAGAACACCGGGAGAGAGAAACTCCTTCCTCTTTATGAAAAGTATCGTGCCACTGTTAACGATACAACACACAGACGGGACCTCGGTTTAACGTCTCACCCGCAGGACGGTGAGTCCGACAATGCAGCACTGGATTGTGAATCCCCGATGTGGGGGGGGGGTGGGGAAGGGTGGCTTGAACCCACAACCACCTGATTCAAGAGGCGAGAGCTCTACCCATTGCGCCAGGATAGCTAACGCCTAAAGGTGATGGAACTGACGATGGAATGAAAGAACTTTAAAATGGAGACGTGTGGGGGTCAAAATTCACCGAAAAGTAGCAGAACTATGCTCGGAAAATACACTTTGATATTTGCGCTATAAAGTGATCGAGTGCTAAGGCTTGATGCGAAAGTCATCCCCTCCCGAGAACCCTGCTACTCATCGATTCTCCTGGGAAGAGATTTCAATTGCATAAACCGAAGGAAGCAGAAATCGTTCGGGTCTGTCTGGGTGTCCAGCTTATTGCAAAGCTCCACAAATCCATTTTATTGATAAGGCCGAGCACTGTAATGTCATCCCTGACAAAATGCGTTCCATCGCTAGCCAGAAGAAGGCAGCAGAGACAGGTCGATGAGAACATCACGCAGGAGGCATCAAGCGAGTCACTTGTGTGTGAAACCGCAATTCTGCTAAGCTCAAGAGCAGCGAGCTATTAATAATGTAGGAAAACCTGATTAACTGAAGTGCTCTTTCCTGTGTAAACATTTAAAGATGCATAAGGTAGCAAAATAGACGTCATCCGTTTGTTTTTTTAGTTTCTGATTCCTCGCCCTCTCACCTCTCCTGCTCCCTGCCCTCGCCTGGGCTCCTCGCTGCACACGACACAGTCAATACATTGATCAGGTCTCTGATGGCTGCACAGACAGTTTAGCCAATAGTCCGCTCTCACAGCTGTGAATGTGATCAATAGGGACGGGGGGGGGAGAGCCCACCACCAGGGAGCTTGGCGCAGGTCGTTCCCCCACACCCACCACCTCCCTCACCCCAACCGGGCTCTCCCCACAGTCAGGGACTCAGAGACATTAAACCGAGCTCCCCGTCTGTCTGATCAGTTGGACGTTAAAGGTCCCTGGTACTACTTGAGAAGAGCAGGGAGTTTCTCTCTCCTGGTGTCCTGGCCAACAAGCCAACATGTGAGTGTGTAAGTGTGTAACTGAGTGAGTGAGTGTGTGTCCTAGTGAGTGTGTGTCTGAGTGAGTGAGTGAGTGAGTGAGTGAGTCAACAAGCGAGCGAGCGAGCGAACAAGCGAGCGAGTGAGTGAGCGAGTGAGACAGACGGACCCCAGATGGTACATAGGAGGTAAGCTTCAGAGTTGTTTGCTCGGGAACCATGACGTCAATACTTTTTGGACTAAAGCAAACATTCTTCACAGTAAGGCCCTCACTGTGCAACGTACTGGGTGGAAGTGAAATGAGCTCCAGATCACTCTGTTTTTACCAGGAATATTTAGCTCATGAGCATGAGCAAGAGAACCAGTGGGGAGAGGAGGAGACATTTATTTATGCAGCAAGTTGTTACAGTCTGGAATGCACTGCCTGGAAAGGTGGTGGAAGCAGATTTAATCATATTTTTCACAAGGGAATTGGTTATATACTTGAAAAGAAAAAAATTTCAAGACTGAAAAGAGCGGGGAAGTGGGACAAGAGCCGGTACAGGTACGATGGGCCGAATGGCCTCTTTGTGTGCTGTAGGATTCTATGATAATATAACCTGAAGTGTCTAAAATATGACGCTGGGCTATTAAAGGCTGATTGACGGCCTACGACTCGAGGTTGAAGGGGGAGGAAAGGTGGAAGGGACGAAGGGCAATCAGGAAGCCAGAGCCAGCCGAGCAAATGCAGCAGGTAGTGGAGTGGGGATTGAGGAGGTCAGAAAGGTCGGGAGGTGCCAGAGTGTGAAGAGGTTTGTTGGCCAGGAACTGGAATAATCCTCGTGCTTTATACTATTGAGGACCCAGATCAGGCTCTGAGAGACATCTTGCCCGAAAGAGACCAACAATAAGACAGCGCTTTCCCCCTTCACACACACCCACATGTACCAGAATTGTACCAGAATGTCAGTCTAGACAGCGAGCCTTTGACTTTGAACCCACATAATATCTCATCTGGAGGTGAGAACACTACCTTAACTGACTGATACGCTTTCTCCTAACCACTGCATCGTGGGCGGTGTGTTAGAGACGCGGTGGTTTAACCTGGGTTTAGTACCTCAAACCCACAGGCAGCGATCAGCTTTCTGAACAGCCAGGACACGACGTGTCAGGTCAGGGCAGCCCAGCACCGTACAACAATTCACACTTAGTTATAAAGTGCTGTTCACTTAGGAGGAAGGTCTCAAAGCACTTAAAAGCGCATGGTTATCTCAAGGCAATATCAAATGGAAGGATTATTATTACCATCATTACTGAGAAAGAGTGTTTCTCGGGTTCCTGTTCTTTTACCATCATATTAAAATAGTGAAATATTAAGGCCCTGATACCCACTGCTATCTGATACCCAACAACCTGTCTGCTCCCTCCGTTCTCCCTCTGGCCTGCTTCATGTCTCCCGTCTTGCCCGCTTCATTATTGGTATGCAGGCATTCAGCCTCTCCGCCCCCACCCTCTGGAACTCCATCTCACAGTTCCTCCACCTCGCCCCTTCCCTTACTTCCTTCAAGTCCTGTCTCAAGACCCTCCTCTTTGACCGTGCCTTTGTTCACCCTCCTAAACCCTACCCTCCCCACCCTCCTGATCCCAACTCCCCAGCTCTAACTGTCCAGCGCCTTCGGACACCCTCCTGACGTGAAAGACGCTATACAAATGTTAAGTTGTTTTTGCTACTCCACAGTTTACTGACAACTGAAGTAAGGTCAAGGCTGTCAAAGTTTATAGTTCCGTAAAGCCCAGAGATCAACCATGATGCCCATTAAATGAACAGAGTAAGAGCCAGCGACTGGAGGAATATAATCAGAATGACACACCTGGAGACCCCCTCCCCCCACCCCCAAGTCTAAGTAAATTGGCCGCTGTGTTCGCCCACAAAATACGTAGTCACTGCACTTTACAATAAAATCCCATGAAGCGCTGGGTACGGGAACAGTAATGGCTTCAAGACACAAGCATTTCTTTTGGTTGATGAGAAATTTGTGCCCCTTTTTCAAAAAAAATTACACAGTAAACTGCTGATAGCTCAACCCTGGCTTAACTTGTCACTACCACTTAACTCATCACGCTGGTCAATAGGGCCGGCCGCATTTAGTTATGATTTACATAAACGACGAACTCGCCACTCCGGACATCTCGTACAGTTTACTACACAAAAGCTTTGCTGGATATTAAACAAAGGCTGCGATATGGAAACAGTTTACGTAGGTTTTAAGAGCCATGACTTTAGTTTATCCTTTTCCTTCAGCCAAATGGTGCGCAAATGTATGTCACTGGCTTTCTGGGTCCAAGAGAATCCTACAGCTCACTGCTGCAACTGCAGCAGTCTCCAATGTACAGAGAGGAGACATCAAACTGAGCTGCCCGTCTGTCTGTGTCCTGCTCTGGCAGACGTGAAAGATCCAGCAGCGTTGCTCGAAAAGAGAAGGGAGTTTCTCTCTCCTCGGTCGATAATCCGCCCCCCCCCACCACCCCATCCAGATAAAACTGCGGACTGACACCCACTCACTGTTTGTGGGATGTCACTGTGCACAAGTTGGCTGCCGCTTTTGCCCACAGAATCCACAGTCACTACACGTAACAGTAAAGTCTAGCGAAGCTCCTTGAGGCAGCGTTCCCTCTTTTGTCCTTCGAAACACCAGATCCAGGAAGCAACGCCACATGGGAGGCGGGTGTTATCCTCCTACAGTCCTGACGGGCTAACAAAGGATTAACCAGGGGCAGGAGTGTCTGGGATCTTTCAATTACATTTGTATATTGCCTTTCACGCCGGGAGATAATGTGGACTGAGAAAAGGAAAAGGCGAGGGAATTTTTTATTTCTAACCAACATCCGGGCCAGGCCAGGCCCCCTGTTTGCCCCAGTAAAGAGAATATTCCTTCAATACATCACAGCCATTAAGAAAGGTTTAGCTCTTCTTCGCACTGTGACACGAAGCTCAACGCAGAGACACACAATATTTCAAGAGGCTGCCTACCTGTGGCTGTTGAGGGATATTTACAAAGTTAGGATCCCGTGGTCCAACACTCACGAATCGGTTTGCAGGGGAGGTGCTGGGCGTCGAGTAGGCTGTGAAGGGAAGGGGACACGTACATTCAGGTCAAGTGACGGAGAGAAAACAGCTTCAAGTGAAAAACTGAAGCCTGTTGACAGCCTGGCAGCAAACATACATGGCAGCAAAAATTCCCCAACAAACTAATACATTATACTTGGTTAAAAAAAACATACACAGCCAGAAACACACACACACGCGCACACGCACACACGCGCGCACACACAAACACATACACGCACGCACAAACACGCACACACATAGGCACTTAAAACACACGCGCGCACATACTTGGAACACACACATACATACACAGACTTAAAAAACACATGCACATGCAAGCATACACTTAAAAAACGCACACATACACACACACATTTAAAATACACGCGTGCACTATTCCACAACAATAACGAGAACAGCAACTTGCATTTACACAGCGCCCTTCGCGTGGGGTAGCATAGTGGCTGAAGGCACAGCCGCCAATGGTGGAGCGGGGGGGGGGAACGAGGAACAAACAGGAGCCAGCCAAGCGGAGGCAGTGGGTGGTGGAGTGGGGAGTATTCCCCAGCTAGTAGGGAGTGCTGGAAATACTCTTGTGTTGTGCTTGGAGTAATCTAACCCTTACATCGAGGAGCGAGATACTCACTGGGCGAAGCGGGCGAAGCAGCTCCTCCGTCTGTGGATGTGGTGCTGGGTTTTGTATCTGGCACTGGCAGGGGCACGGGCCGAGCCATTGGCGGGGGCGGTGGGGGGGGCAACATTGGGGTGGGGAGGAATGGATTGTGGACTTTGCCTTGGCTGCTTCCATTGGGCTGCGGAAGAAGAACAATCATTACAACAATAATAATAATAATTCCTTCGCCTCGCCTCCCCCCCTCCCTTGCCTCCTTCAAGGCACATCTCAAGACCTTCATCTTCGACCGCGCCTTCAGCCGCCCACCTATCGCCACCCTCCCCTCCACCCTCCCTGCCCTCCACCCTCCCTGATCCCAAACCCCATCGCCTGCCCAGCTTGGGTCCAAATCCCTGACTGTCCAGCGCCTTGGGACGTCCTCTCGACATGAAAGGCGCCAAGGTTTTGCCGGGCAGAGCAAAACCTTAGCAAATTTCTTTACTCCACACACACTCCTCTGTTCACCAGCACTAAGTAGGAACCCGGTCAATTGACGGATCGCTTTCTGGGGATAATAATCCTTTAAAAATGTTAATGATAATTTGGTGACGCAATCCACCACTGTTTGTGGGACTCTGCTGTGCTGCTGCATTTCACCCACAACATACACAGTCACTCCACTATACGATATATTCTGTGAAGCACTCTGAGACATCTCAACGACATGATAAGGTGCTGTATCAAATGTAAGGGTGATTTTACTGCTTGCAAGGCGATCACGCCAGCAAACCCGGGCTTAACGGTCTCGCAAGGAACGCTCAATAAACCTGTAGTCGGCAAACAGCGGGGACAAGCCCTGGAGTCAGCCGGACAAGTAACTGGATATTTTATCTGAACCCTGCGAGCAGGGGAGGGGAGCATGGCCATCGCTTACAGCTGCTCTGTAATAAGCCATGGAGCCTTCTCCTCTCCCCTGACATGACTTGCAGTTACGCAGCCTTTTAATTAAGATCCAGCAACAGGGCGAATCGATTGGTTTAAATCACAAGCTACTTTAATCAGCGAAACTACCGGCTGTGCCTCTCCCATCACCTCCACACCACTCTGCGGCACTGCAATGTACCCACTCGGCTACGAGCCAAAGGCTGACCTGAGCTGCACTGCTTTGTAGCTCAACGAAGCCTGTGTTCTGCTCAATAATTCAGGAGGTTTCTTAAGATGAGCAGAGGCAAATGAATCTTCAAGCACAAAAACCGTCAGGATATTGATCCGATGTCTAGACAAGTGTTGTATCTTTTAAGTCACTGCAGACATGATTCACTGCTCGTGATGCCTGCTCTACCTGAATGCGTGTTATTGTGGAATGTTTGAATCTAACGCTAGTGTTGTACAGTGTGTTCCCTGTTGTGAATCGCAGTCCTGACAGGTCTCGGAAAGTTGTGTAACTGCCAGCTCACTAAATTGCATTAATATTGCAAGTGTACATTGACGTGCACACACACAATCACAAGCAGAGATGCACATATACAAAGATCCCCTCCTCCAATCACACCCCACATGTACACACACACACATACTTACCTGAAAACAATCGCAAACGGAAAGCAACACACACACACAAACACATTGAGTGACTGCATTTTTTCTGAGGGATTATTACCCCTGGAAAGCAATTATTATCCTGCCAATTGACTGACATCCAGGTTCCTACTTACTGCTTGGTAAACAGAGGCGTGTGTGTGTGTGGGGGGGGGGGGGGGGGGAGTAAGGACATTTGCCTAAGGTCTTGCCCTACCGGAAATCGATCCCGGGTCCTTTCGCTCACGAAGCGAGAGTACTAACCACTTTACTACAGGAATCCACTTCAGAAATTATGAATGGACAGATAGAGGGATAGGCAAGCAGAATAGGCAGGTAATAAAAAGCAGGTTACTCACGTTTAGGAAGCCCACTTGTCCGGATTGCTGACTGGTATCAGGGCACACAAGCTGGACAAATTCCTTCAGAGATTCCTGACTGGGATGTGGATGATAGCGGATGGCTGTGTGGGAGAAGTACGGGCCTGGCTGTTGGATGATGGGAGACGTTGGGAAATGTAGAGTTGAGGATGCTGCATGGGGACTCGCTGTGAGAGGCAGGGAGGAGAGGAAGAAACGACAGAGACGTTGGAAGTCAAGAACAACCCGTACCACTTGCAACTCGTATCATCATTGTCAGCGGCAAAACAGTCATTACCAGGACAGGAGCCACAAAGATATTATCTACGAAAATATTACATATTCAATCAACTCCTGATAACTCATCACCCCAAGGAAAAAGGGCGCTGTGACTAGTTATCAAGAGTGGCGAGTTACGCATATGTGTAAATATATAAATAAATGCAGTGAGGATATCACAACATGTTGACTTAAGTGATAGTGATAAATTAAGCTATGGTTGAAATATCATGGGTTAATGTATATATGAAAATTAGCACCTATTTGCAGGGTTTATGTTACATGATGCGTTAAATTCACAGCCCACCCCCCACATTACTCTTATTTTTTGCTAATAAATCAACCATTTCTGTTCATATTTTCTAGTATGCCACCCCTGAGACATTCAGATACAAAAATTATAATAATAATAATCCTTGCATTTGGTACCGTGGCTTTCACGTGGGGTGGACATATCAAAGCGTTTCATAGAATTATACTGTGACGTGTAGTGACTGTGTATTTGTGGGCCAACGCAGCAGCCCATTTGCCTGCGCAACATCCCACAAAAAACATTGAAATGAACGACCAATTTTACATGGAGGTGAGGACATCAGGGTAAGGATGTGTGTGAAGGTTTGTGCAAGTGTGTGTGAGGCTCTGTATAAGGATGCCTTTGAGTCTCTTTGTGAGGGTGTGCGAGGCTCTGTATGAGAGTGTGTGTGTGGGTCTGTGCGAGAGTGTGTGTGACGGTCTATATGAGGGTGTGTGAGAAGATGTGTGCGAGTTAGCCTGGCATTAATTGTGCTGTTAATTGAGCCAAGCAATGTTATTTAGACCACTTCACACAACAACAACTTGCATTTGCACAGCGCCCTTCACATGGGATAGTGTCCCAGAGTGCTTGACAGTGTCGGAGTCTGACCCCAAGCCTGGGGGAGAGGGAGGGGGGAGGTGACCATAAGCACGATCAAAAAGGAAGGTCTTTAGGCAGGATTTGAAAGTGGGGAGGAAGGGAGGCAAGGCGGAGGGATTGAGGGAGAGAGTATACCCAGCGGAGTTTACCATTTGTGATCTGGATGTTGGGGAAAGAAACCTCAACAATTAGTTAAAAACCGACACACTCTATCGAAGAGATAAACAGCGGTGGCAGTGGGTGGGAAAGAATGACCTTCAATTACTGATATTGAACATTATTCAAATGACAGCAAGAGGCGGAGACAGCTTTCCAGCAGAGGATCAATCCAATTTCCCATCGTTTCCGCAGACGTGACGTGATTCACTGAAGGGTCTCCACTGACATCAGTTTGGCTCAGGTCCAACCCAACCGGGTTTTCAGCCAGAGCCATGAGTAGCCAAGCGAAGCCACTACAACAGTGCAGAAGCATCCTCAACGTTTGTTGGGGTAATAACAGACCTTGGGGGGAGTGCTCTTTGCTCCCTCTGCATTCAATTGTTCCAATCAATAGGATAGGAACATAGGAACAGGAGAAGGCCATTCAGCCCCTTGAGCCATTCTGTAGGATCATAGCTGATGAGTATCTCAACTCCAATTACCCACTCTTACTCCATATCCCTTGATACCCTGACCTATCCACCATCCACAGCCTTTTGGGGGAGAGAGTTCCAGATCCCCACTAACCTTTGTGTGAAAAACTGCCTCCTGATTTTACTCCTAGATGGCCTAGCTCTAATGGTAATTTTGCACACAGGTCAACACTCCCATCGCAATGATTAGAATTAAAAGAATTCCCTTCCCCATCATTGCCAAATAGAACCCAGCAAGTCAAAGCCCTAACGCTGTGGGTAAGCTTATCAGACAGGGCTCTCAATAGCAAGCTATGTGTTTTTAGCTGACTGGACTCCCAAAAGCTATACCAACGCATACTTTGGGGATCCCCCCCGCCTTGCCCTCTCCCTCCCCACTTTCAATATCTATCAGATGGACATTAAAGGTCCCATGGAACGACTTGAGAAGGGAATGGAGTTTGATCCAGTGTCCTGGCCATTACCCTCACCCCACTGATTGAACAAAAAGGTCACTTCATGGCTGTCTGTGGGACGTATGTGTGTGCAAATTGGCTGCTGTGTTCAAACACAAAATACATAGTCACTGTGAATCCCACAAAACGCTTTGAGATGCCTTGAGGACGTGATAAGGCGCAGTTATCAAATGCAGAGATTATTATTTTTAAGCACGTACCCCAACAACAACAACAACTTGCATTCATATAGCGCTCCTCATGCAGGGTACGGCCCAGAGCGCTTTGAACAGTGAGAATGAAGAACGCACATTGTGAAGGGGGCCATCGAGTGGCTTTGGTGGGAAGTCTGGACAATATCCTCCGAAACCGCAACGGTTGGGAAGTTCGACAGCTCAATAATAATCATCATCATCAAATTGTTTTATGCAGCGCCTTTCAAATCTCAAAGCACTTCGTGGGATCCTCTGTAAAGTGCAGTCACTGTGTATTTTGCAGCCAATTTGCCCTCCTGTAATGTCCCATGAAACAACAACAACAAATTGCATTTGTGTAGCACCTTTTCGTGTCGGGAGGAAACAGCCGTGGTGTGGAACTAGCTCCGCTTACGTGAGGATGAGTGGCTCAGAGCTCTCTGAGGAGGGAGGGAGTGAGTAAGGGTCAAGGCGCTGCCCCATCATGATGGACCCCAGAGCTGATGGCTTCTCAGTATCTCTATCCCATTGCAAACCAACGCGAGCTGCATCTATCAGCTGCCTTGCCAGATGGCAGTAGCAGGAAGGGCAGAGGATTGCTGACACAGCATCTTGGGTCCCTCTTTTTCATGTTTAAAGCAGTGGGATGATACGACATAAATACGTAAAAGCTATAATTTGGGGCTCCAGTAATTCACTTAACATGTGGATGATTTATGGGCTTGTCACTGCACTGTCTTGAAGCCTGTAACTCACAAGGTTACAGGGCCACAGCGTTATACACACAGTTGTTATTTATTCCAGGGAATGTTGTCATACAGAATTGTATTTCGAGACAGAGAGAGGAGGGGGGTAGGCAACGAGGCAGGGTGGGGGTGGAATGAGGAAAAACAGGGGGATGGAAGGGTGTGGCTTATCCTCGCAAACCTACTGCAAATCAACTCAGCTCATCACCTTGGTTTGTTGCAAAACACCCACTAGCTAAGGTACGTTTAGCCCATAAAATACACAGTCACTACTCTAGAGTATATCCTGTGAAGCGTTTTGAGATGTATCAACGACGTGATAAGGTGCTATATTAAATGCAAGGATTATTATTATTATTTTCACACTATAAAGCAATTTTTTATTATACGGTAAACCTCACATAAGGTCATATGTTTAATATGACTTATGCAAAGTGTGAGTTATGTCAAACTTGCATAGAATTTAAGCTCCTGAGCAGGACTTGGGCAGATGTATGACTTGGGCGATTATACGATTTATACAGCTCAGACTTAGGCAAGTTTTACAGTAATTCTGTAAATCCAATGGCTTGGAGCTTGGAAACCGGCTGCGATGTCTCCTCTCTTTGCTGCCGGCCTGATGTGTATCTATCTGTTTCCGAGCCATACGCTGAATGAAGTGCTTTCCTGTGTTAATGGTTTTCAGGCGCTATCATTAACTGCAAAACTTCTGTCAACTTCAACCACAGGTTTCAGACGGGCCTTTCCACTTTCACAATTGAGAGCTGATAGTTTTCTCTTTCTCGCTTCATTGATTCTCTCGCTCGCTCTCTCTCTGTATTTTCTCCCTCTCTCACTCTTTCTTACTTATCTTCCCTTTTTTACTCTCTTTGTTATCCCTCTTCTCCTCTCTATGTTTCTTTCTCTCTCTCTGTGAATTCCCCTCCTGCCCCCCTTTTTTTCAACCTTCTGTTAGCTGTAAAGCTTTCTCACTTTTTTTTATTCTAGAAACAGATATCTCCTGAACAATCTGTTCTGTATTAGTGCAGTTAATGGCCACAATTCCTGTCCGCAGAGCAACTCAGTGTAGATTCGCTGACTTTGTCTGAGTGCTGACATTCCGAGCTTTCCCTGTAATATCCCGGTGGGATATTTCTTCCACTCTCAAGCCGTTCTTTTTGTTTTACAAAGTGCCAAATTTGGCGTCAGGCAATTAAACTCAGTCCGCAGAGCATCAAAAGTTCACATTGTTTTTAAAGTAATGAAAACTCAGGTTTTTGCACAATGCGATTCATTATTCCTCAACCGTTGGAGGAGTCTCTCTGTATATAGTAGAGAAAGCACAATTTAAATGACACCTTCTCCATTTCGTAAACTCCCTCCCTCACTGCAGAAAGCTTGGGCTCTTCCCATGCCTCGGTTATGCTAACGCTGGTGTCATTCCAACATTTTGATGTAGCGCCTTAATCAGAGAATCTAACAGCACAGAAGGAGGCCATTCGGCCATTTGCCTGTATCAGCGCTTTGAAAGAGCCACCCAACTCGTCCCACTCTTCCACTCTTACCCCATAGCCCTGCACATTTTTCCTGTTCAAATATCTATCCAATTTACATTATCATCCAAAATGTCTCTAAGCCCTCCACAGTCAAGTGTAGTGACTGTGTATTTGTAGGCAAGCAAGCTGCCACACAGACATTGGTCTCAGCCTGGCTCAGTCGGTAGCACTCTCGCCTCTGAGTAAGAAGGTTGTGGGTTCAAGCCCCCATGTCGGGACTTTGAACTCACAAGTCTAGACTGACCCTCCAATACTGTGCTGGGGGAAGCATTGTTAGAGATGCTTTTCTTTGGATGATTAAACTGAGGTCCCGTCTGAATGCTCAGGTAGATATTAACAATCCCACGGCATTATTCGAAAAGAAAAGGAAATTTCTCTCCGTGTCCTGGCTGACAATATTTGTGAGACGTTTGTTCACAAATTGGCTGCCTCATTCGCCTAGAAGGTACACGGTCACTGCACCTTAGATAATA